GTCACAGTGTTATATTCTTATTTTAAGTGTTCTATAATTTTCCCTCTTTCTCTGAATCATGCCCCTAGTCTTTCACTTCGGTGCACTGAAACAGCACATAAGTTTTTGCCTCAGCTCTGTCTTCTGGGGAAATCAGGCAAACACAATTGTCTTGTACTGAGCATACAGATATATTTTTCATTCTAGTCTGATTGTTTCTGTTTTTAACTGGTGCTTTAGACCTTCTATACTTAATGTAATTGCTGATATATTTAGGTGTTTTTTTTCCCCCTGTCTTGTTTTCCTTTTATTTTTTTATTGTCCTTATTGGATTATATTTTATAACAATTTAGTTTGAAAGATAAACATTCTTTTGTTAAATTTTCAGTGATCCTGTTGGAAATTATAACATGCACCCTTGACGTACCAAAGTATAATGCTGGTTGGTAGTTTACCAACCGTTTTCTTAGACAAAGTTAAAACCATAGAACATTTCAATTGTCAATCTACTGAAGGTTATGCTATCATTGCTATGTATTTTATTTTAACTTGTACAAGGCATTATTATTGTTTTAAACAATCAATATTGTCTTAGCTTGTATTCTTTCAAAAGTAGACCTTAGACAAGAATTTGGGAATAGATTGTGTGTAGGGGAGGTTATCTCAGGAAGAATGACAGGAATAAGAAAAGGAAGGGAGAAAATTTAATAAAGGCTTCATCAATGAGTGGGTTACTATGGTAGGCAACTATGGACCAATATTGTCCTACAAAAATACCAAGTGAAATACATCTCAGAATCATCCATGGATGATGGGACCCTGGGCTACTTAGCTACCAGCAGCCATCCTTTACTGTTTGAGAGCTGTCCCTGGGGTGTTGACTCTCCCATACTTCCCGGTTGTACCTGCTTGTAGCTGAGTAAAAGGTGCTAGAGAAAGCCTTTAGGCAGAGAAAAAAAAAAAGAGAAAAGGGGACCCTAAAAGGAAAATTATCAGCATGCTGGAAACTGTTTTCCATTGCTGTTGCTATGGGGCAATGGTTTGGGGAATCAGCAGTGTCTCCTACGCAGTATCCATTATGTTTCCAGATACATTCATGCTCCATATGTTATTTTCCACTGTGTTTTTTCATGCTTCAGGGTGGTGGCTGGCCACAATTTAAAACATAAATAAATAAAATAAACAAAACCCAAAACAAAATCCCCCACCAAAGCCCTTTCAAGGGAGTACAGTGGTACCTCGGTTTTTGAATGTGATCCGTTCCAGAAGACCGTTCGAGCTCGGAAACATTCGAAAACCGAAGGATCAGCAGCCAACAGCTGGGCCTCAGGATCTTGCCCTCAGCGGGAGCCACGTGGCATGTTCAACTTCCGAGGCGTGTTCGAAAACCGAAGCATTCACCTCGGGTTTATGGTGTTCGTAACCTGAAATGTTCGCCAACGGAGACGTTCGAAAACCGAGGTATCACTGTGTTAGCAGAAGAAGTCACAGTCCCCACTGCTGATCTGGTTCCAAGGAGATGGCCCCATGTGTTGTTTCCATCCCTGATGCCATGGCCACTCTATAAACCCACTGTGCTAGGCAGGGTGGCTAAGGACAAGAGCTGGTTTACCTCCCCTGGATGAGTTAGCTTCTTCTCCAGGATCTTCAGGGACTCCTCTCTGGTGAGCATGAATGTGAGGCAAAATCTGCACAATTGGTCCCTACTTCCTGAGACTTCCTTATCTTTCATCCTCTAAAGGTCTACAATGATCTATCTTCTATTTTTCTTTCTCTTTTGGAATGGCTACACTGCTTATTTGAATGGGGAGACAACGGGGAGCAATATTTCTACACCATTTGAGTCTGAGGCTAACAGCAATATCTGAAATTCCTAACAGAATGTGGTATATAGCTTTTGATTTACATGTTGGGGAAAGTATCATGGGCTTCACTTGGTCCTTTCCACTCTGATGGCTGTTTCTCCACAGGTCAGAGAGATAATGTGAGGGTTCTGACGAGTGCTAAATATGTCCATTCTGATTATGCATGCAAGGAATGGGGAAATCACCGGGAATGTATCCATAGACTCTTTGAATCAATTACACTCAGTCTAATAGAGGGGTTATTATGGCATTTTGTGTTCCCTAGTACCAGTGTCAGCTCTGATTCTATATCCAATAATTTTCAAAAGATCTAGGGATTCCCTTTACTTCTATATAGTTACCCTGAAAAATGGCTGTAAATCCCTTTGGGGCTTAATATAACACACATTATACAATTTTGTTTTGGCACCTTGGGGTTCTTTATTAAAGGAACTTGACCTTATCTCAGTTGACTGGCTCTGATTCTGAGAATTGGTTCAGAACCAGAGCCAGGAAAGGAATCATGATTTTCCATGAGAAGGTTGACCCCGGGCTTTGCTCACCAGCTCTTGATCTTTTATTTTTACATAAGTGAAGCAACACTCTCATTGGCTGTCCATCTGTCTTGCCACTAGGAACAGGATGGTCTATTCGCCATTGCCATAGATTCCAATGGTCAATCAAGGGCCCCTGATTGTTAGTTTGGCCTTGCTGCCTATTACAGTTATTATGTCCATGTTGTCTCTAATTACTGTGTGCTTAAACATGGTCTTTGCTACTCTGAAATCATATCATCCATATTGACACTGGAGATTCCCATAGAAGCATCTTCTGTTACTCCTGGCCCACCCCTCTGAGTTTCTCAATGGTGTCTCAGTGAAGGGAGGGTCTTTTAGTCCCTCTTGTGGACACAGTAAACTGGTACATTCTCTGGTATTACATAATTCATCTACTGTAATCTTTCTACTTCTTTGAAACTCTTGGCTCTTTCCTCAATATTCTTCTTAGGAAGTCTGGCACAGTGAGTCTAAACTTTATTTTATTATGAACTGGATCAGTTTTTTAAAAATTCTGGTTACATGTAAGCACTGCCAAATTAATCAAAAAGTAGTTGATAGTAATGTTCACCTTCCTCAAATATGATCAATAATTATTCAAAACCATAAAGAGCATGTTGGTATTTCTCCTGCCTCCCTTTTTATGTCATATTCCTCAATCAAGGTGTGTTTTTTCAATATCTTCATCCCCTCTTGTTATTTTCCTTAAAGGAAGATTTTCTTGAAAAAAGACATTTGTAGTACATTTACACTGTGGAATACTATGCAGCTGTAAAAAAAGAAGGATCTCTTACCCTTTGGGACAGCATGGATGGACCTGGAGAGTATTATGCTAACTGAAATAAGCCAGTCAGAGAAAGACAAGTACCACATGATCTCACTCATATATGGAATGTAATAAACAAAATAAACTGATGAACAAAATAGATACAGAGACATAAAAGCATGGAACAGACTGAGGGATCTCAGAGGAAAGGCGGGGGTGGGGGAGTGGGTGGGGAGAGATTGACCAAAGAACTTATATGCTTATAAGCATAACCCATGGACACAGACATTGGTGTGGGGAAGGCCTGGGCATGGGGTGGATGTGGAGTGGAGGGAATCAAAGGCGGAAAAAAGGGGACGTCTGTAATACTTTCAACAATAAAGATAAATAAAAAAAAAAAAAAAAGATAAAAGACTTTTGAATGAAAATGCAATCAACCTTCATCTCTACTCAATAAAACAGGAGATTTATTAATAAAAATGATAGAGACTGTTGACTCAATATATGAGATGACCATGAGGGTGATGCGAAGCTCTGATAGCACTGCTGCTCCTGCTGCTTCAAGTCCTCCTTCTCCTTGACTGTTGCTTCCCTGACCACTCTGGGCAACATGATTGAAAAGGTGGAACAGGCTACAAGAACATCAATAATGATTTTAAAAAGCAACTACACTTTCTCTTTTCTTTCCAACATTGTGATATTTGTCTGCTTCTTTTCTGTATCATGGAAACGCACCACTCAGCTCCCCAGCTGTGGGGTTACAGTTGCTGCTTTTCTGGATTCACCATCACTTTTGTGTCATGACTGTGATTCTGCAGAATGTTTTCAGCCAATGACTGAACATGGAAATATCATTCTGGCAAGATGTGGGGCACTTTCAATGGGAAACTTTGCCTAAGACTGTACCGCAGTCCAAGACTCTTCCAGCCCAATTCTTCCTTCTCTCTATTCTTCCTTTATTAGATATCAGACCCACATGATAGTTAGAAGGCTCACCTTGTTTTCAGCTTCTTTCCGCAATACATTATCTATACATATACAACCAAAGTAATTTCTTTTCTTCAAATAGACATGTGAATAATTATCTATTAGTGCACAACATATTATCCCAAAACTTAGTGTCTAACAACAACAACACACATTTAATAACTCACAGTTATTGTGGGTTAGGAATACAGGCATGACTTAGCCAGGTCCCCTGTTTCAGGATCTCCCACATGGTTGCAATCAAATGCCAGCTAGTGCTTGGGTCTCATCTGAAGCTCAACAGCAGAAGGATCTGCAGGATTTAGTTTCTGTGAACTGTTCTACAGAGGGCCTCAGTTCTTTGCTGACTGCTGTCTGGAGGCCTCCCTTAGTCCCTTACCAGATGGGTGTTCACACTATGATGGCTCACTTTATCAAAGAGAGAGAGAGACAGAGACAGAAAGAGAGAGAGAAAGAGAGAGGGACTGCTAGCAAGATGAAGGTCACAACATTCTATAGTTTAATCACAGAAATGACATGCCAACACTTTTCTATATTTTATTGGTTAAAAGCAAGTCACTTGGCCAGCCCACACTTAAGGGCTAACCAAGGCATGAATATCAGGAGGTGGAGATCACTGGGGCCATCTGAGAGGCTGCCTACGATATACATCTAACACCATCCCGATGCCTGCTTCTCAGAAGATCCATGTTCCTCAGAGGACCTAAACTAACACATCTCTAAACATTCTAAAGAACAGCTCTAGTTACTTATTCTAACAAGGGGATAATGTCTCATCAAAAATAAAATTGTCTTGTTATTGCTATTTTAATGTGTCTAAATAAAGGGGATTTATACAGTAAAATTAATCTATTTTTGTTTTGTAAGTGACTACAAATGGAGTGGAACTCAAACTGAAACCACTGTAGGCGGAAGTACTATTTCCTTGGTTAAGGTAGGTCTATGAACATTACACTTTTTCTTTCTGCAAATAAGATTTGTTGCACATCAATTGCTCAAATAAATGTGTCAGAACAATCCCTACCATTGGCAGCAAACTTTTCAAGATCAGTGTATGGGACTGTGGGTTGGTGAGGTTAAAAGACTGTATAAAGGTGAGAGTACACCAGGTATTCATTTGTCACGTCTGAGTGCAATGTTATGCAACTGGCAAGAAATTAGTTTGAATTCCCCCAAAACAAATAAATAGGGAAATGGTCTTGTTTGGGAAAAAATCCAGTGTTACTAGAGGTGGATAGAAACCACAAAAATATTATTGTAGATTTTACCAAGAGGAACACCAAGATATATAGCACCAAAGTAATTTCTTTTCTTCTAATAAGCATGTTAATAGAATAGACACCAGGTTTATGCTCCAGCACCCTGGCCAATCAACTGTTCTTTCTATTTTAATATATCTATTTTGGGTATCAGAATTACCTGAGGGAATTTTAAGTTGGCTAAGTTTCAGAGAAAAGTGACCAATCTATCAAAGGAGCAAAGACTCTGCGGGAAGGTAAGAAGCAAATAAGAAAATCTAGGTATAATTCCACAGGGACATGTTTGCTTTTTCTAAAATTTTTTGAAAGCTTTGCCTGAAATAAGGAAGGAATAAAAAACTGAAATTGGGAAAAAATAAATTCAGACTGACTATCCAACCCAAGGCAGGGAGTTGAGGATTATTAAAGGAAATAGTGAAAGTTCATTATATGAGACAATGAAAACCTAGACCAGCTGTGGTGTTCCAGAATGCACCCAGAGTAATCCTATCTGGGCTCCAGGGAGTAGCCTGACCTGGGTAGCAATTTCCAGCTTTAACTTAGAATCTCTATTATTGCATTAGTTTTGTGGGTTGGCTCCAGGCATAAAATAGTTTACAATGGTGACTGTCTGTTATTTCCTGTAGTTGAATCCATATTTCTATGGGCTGCCTTGTGCTCAGGGCTGCTAAAATCTTTTACCTGCTTCATGGCTCTGGGGAATCTAATAGACATTTTCACGCTGCAGAATGGACAGCTTACAAAATAAAAAGTTTGCAATGGGATATGTGGTGTTCATGCCAAGAATATTCATCACTCTTAGTTACCTGAGGGTTCAGACTGATGCAGGAATGTCCTTGTTTAGAAACTCTTCCAAGTGACCAACCCCCCTCCCCAAAAAACCCTTCATATAGGATACAGACTTTTTTATGAAGTGAAAGATTTAGTGCTACAGTGATAGGGAAACAGCTTCTGAGTTTGAATGAAAGTTTTGGTCAGCAGTGCATATAAAGGATGGATGAGAGTTGGGATTACTTTCCTTTCATGAGGGTTTATGCAGCCAGTTTATATTATTGTGCAAAAATTTCCCTCTTTTCTTGGAGTCTGAACTCAAGCCTCAGTTGAAGCCCTGTCTTTACCCCAGTGACTAGGATGAACCCGATCACACAGTACCTTGGTGCCATCCTTCATCTCGGAGTTAGTAAAGATCTCTTCTGGGTGCAAAAAGTGGGTTAGCATTTTAATTTTTATGTACAAAAGTTCATCTTGTACAAAACACTGTGTACGAAAGTCTTGGATCATAGAGGGCCTGTACGTGTCATCTGTCATTGGGCTTCAGGAGGCTGATGCAGTTATATTTAACTTTTGAATTATTTAAGGCAAGAGTAGGAATTCAAGAGAAAATGATTGCTACCAGGAATTAATGCTGTAGAAACAGGTAAACCTTAACATTTTGAAAGAAAGAAGAAAGGTTCTTTGAGTAATAAAAACGATTTAAATTGAGAATACCTTTTATTTATTTATTTAAATTTATCTTTATTGTTGAGAGTATTACAGGTGTCCCATTTTCCCCGCAATTGACCCCCTCCACTTCGCTCCCACCCCCTCCCAGGCCTTCACATTGTTATTAATTGTGTCCATGGGTTATGCATATAACTTCTTTGGTTAATCTCTTCCCACCCTCCACCCCCCTTCCCTCTTTCCTCTGAAATATGATCGTCTGTTGCATGCGTCAATGTCTCTGGATCTATTTAGTTCATCAGATTCTTTTGTTCATTAGCTTCTTCTTAAAGAAGACCCTTCAACATTTCCTGTAGTGCTGGTCTGGTGGTGATGAACTCCTTTAGCTTTTTCTTATCTGTGAAGCTCTTTATCTGACCTTCAATTCTAAATGATAGCTTTGCTGGGTAGAGCAATCTTGGTTGTAGTTCCATGTTTTTCATCACTTTGAATATTTCTTGCCACTCCCTTCTGGCCTGCAAAGTTTCTGTTGAGAAATCAGCTGACAGTCGTATGGGTGCTCCCTTGTAGGTAACTAACTGCTTTTCTCTTGCTGCTTTTAAGATTCTCTCTTTGTCTTTAACCTTTGGCATTTTAATTATGATGTGTCTTGCTGTGGGCCTCTTTGGGTTCCTCTTGTTTGGGACCCTCTGTGCTTCCTGGACTTGTAAGTCTATTTCTTTCCCCAGGTAGGGGAAGTTTTCTGTAATTATTTTTTCAAATAGGTTTTCAATTTCTTGCTCTCTTTCCTCTCCTTCTGGCACCCCAATAATACGAATGTTGGGCCTCTTGAAGTTGTCCCAGAGGCTCCTTATACTATCTTCATATTTCTGGATTCTTTTTTCTTTTTGCTCTTCTGGTTGGGTGTTTTTTGTTTCCTCATGTTCCAAATTGCTGATTTGATTCTCAGCGTCCTCTACTCTACTGTTGATTCCCTGTAAATTATTCTTCATTTCAGTTCCTGTAGCCTTCATTTCAAATTGGTACTTTATTATGTTATCTATTTTCTCAGTTATTTCCCTCACAGTCTGCTTAAACATCCTTATAACCAAAATTCTGAACTCTGTATCTGTTAGCTTGCTTGGATCTATTTCATTTAGTTCCTCTTCTAGAGATTTCTTCTGTTCTTTCCTTTGTGACATGTTTCTTTGCCTCCACATTTTGGCTGCTTCCAGGTGTTTGTTTCTATGTATTAGGTAGAGCTGCTATGTCTCCTGGAATTTGTAGAGTGGCTTTGTGTAGTAGGTGTCCTGTAGGGTCCAGTGGCTCAGCCTCCCCAGTCACCTGAGCTGGGCCTTCTAGGTGCTCCCCTGTGTGGGCTGTGTGCACTGTCGTGTTGTAGTTGAGCCTTGGTTGCTGCTAGCACCACTGGGAGGAACTGACCCCCAGACCAATCAGCTGTGAGGATCAGCTGCAACTACAGCTAAAGAGTTGCTGTGCTGGAGACACCCCTATGGAGCAGGATTTACTTCAGTGGAG